GCCGCTACCACTGTCGCTGATGGGCGCGGCCTTGGCCAGCGGAGGGTCCGTCTTGGAGCCGGCTGGTGTGGGCCCTATTGGGCATGGGGGAAGCTTCTAGCAGCTTCTCACAGAAGCCACCCCTGTAGCCCCCCTGCTACCAAAACCTTGCCATGCAAACCCAATACAGCCATCTTGGTGAGAGGTTTTCCCCTCAAAAGCCTGGAAAACAATCCTGCAGCGCGGGAGCTAGCGAGACGTCCCAAGGTAGAGCTGGGCAGCAGGGAACCACGCCATATCTTCACGTGCAGCCCTCAGCTTGAGGCATCTCCTGCCTCCTCTTCACAGAAGACTTTCCTGTTGAAAGAGTCATTTTGTGCAAGAAGTTACTGCTAGGAGCAGGGCTGAGATGACGACTGAGGTGTTTCGCGAAGCGGCACAGCGTGGGGCCCCAGGGCACGGGGCCAGCCAACTGCATCATCATTCTTGTTAATGGCTTGAACCCATTGCCCTCAAACGAGGAAGAGCTGGCGCTTAACTAGTGCCACTTAACGGCTCTGAGATTAATGGAGGCAGCGCACGATGCTCCGACGCAACCTAAACTGCCTTCTTGAAAATCCACCCGTTTCCCAAGGGCTTCAGAAGAAACAAGGGCAGTGTTGAATAACTCTGATCAAGGTGTTTTTAAAACCATCAGCTGAATTACTCAGTTGTCCTTTAGCTTCAAGAGGGTTGTTCTTCAGCTTTAGATTTCCCTAATCCTTTTAACCAAGTTGTTCTGGGCCACGGGTGGGGTGGCTTTGCTATTCTACTGCCAAAATCTGTAGATCGTACCCCAGCACCTCTGCTAGCGAACGCAGAGGATGTTTTTTAGGCAAGATATTGATAAAGGTGATAGTTTACTGCAGGTCAGATATCCCGACCCTCCCGGGCAGAGATCACGAAGAGGGGAGCGGACGCATGTGCCCTGGACTTGGGTTTTTCCTTGGCTTCAGGTTCACGCTGAAGCTGAGTGAATTTGGGTCCCTTCAGGATGTTTTTAGTTGAGGACGGTGCTCTGCTGCGATGTCGCAGGGGCTTTGCCACTGCTTAGAAGCAAATTTGCTCAGGTGTTCCGCAGTTTGGGGTTCTTTGTGCATTTCAAGCTCTTCCCAGCTTCAGCTGGAACGAGGGGCACAGGGACATCTCAGGTCCGGGTTTCAGGTGTCTTTTCCATACCTTAAATTAATTTAATGCTTCTTTAGGATGTAGGCTGGGGGTTCGTCTGGAGCTGTCGTGCTTAAGCCCTTCGGTAACTCTTGTAATGTGCATTCAAGAAATAAATTACCGCTATTTTAAACAAATCTGCCAAAGCAGCAGTGGGTAAAATTGCTGGAGTGCTGTGTGGGCAGGAAGGGGTTACCAGCTGCACCGGGGCGCTCCCTGCACAGGAGATGCAGCCGATTCCTGGAGAGCCATTTGCAAGCACCGCAGTTTCCAGGAACTGGCTGGAGGGATGAGATTAGAGGAAAGAGGGGCTGCTTTTCTTGATGGAGAGCCGTGTCCTATCTGTCCTTCTGTCCCTACCCAGCAGCTGCGCTGACAATGATGCCGTGATGCTGAATTCCTCCTCCCTCCCCTTGATGACTAATGTCTGCATCTGTGAGTAATTAGATAAGGTGAGGGGGAAGGCTGCTGCGCTGGACCTGTCCTGAAAAATCACGATCCTGCGTGAAAGGCAGCCTCGGTCGGCGGGGCTGGGCTCACCTCGGGCGCGCAGACGCTGCGGGGTGTCATTAAGAGAGGAAGGAGAGGGAAGAGGCTGTTGGAGAATCGAGACGTTTGGAGCCGTCCTTTTCAACGAGGAGATTGGATTGCGGCTGCGGAGCCCACTTGTCTATCTGAAGTGGAGCTGAGCTCATTTCTGGAGCGATCGGACAGAGTTTGTCGGGTTTTAGAGCCCTTCAGTTCCTGGTAACGGTGCCTGCAGCTGGGCCGCCTCCTCTCGAGAACCTGACTTTGGGTTTTGTTATACCTGGGGTACCCTGAACTCTCGACTCTCGTTTCGCCGTCGTTCCCGTGTCGCTTTCTCTCTCCCTGGCAGCTCACAGCCTTTCTCAGGACAAAGGACGGGGTGCGTGATTCAGGGTGGATAGAACAGCTATGTTCCTGCGTTTCCCCCCTTAAAAACACCGTAATCAGTCCAGATGCTAACGAGTAAACACCCCCGCTCCAGCACAGCCCAGCACCGACTGTTCGGAGGGGCCAAGCTCCTTTTGGCACCATCCCTCCATGGAAATTACTTTCCTGCCCGGCCCTGGCTTCTCCAACTCGTTTGTCATCGCACCGAATTAAACCTTTTTGTCGTTCTTCTCGCAGGTGTTGGCACAAGGAACTACTACAGGAAGATCGGCTACGAGCTGGAAGGGCCTTACATGGTGAAAAGGCTGGACTGATGCCCCAGGAGGTCCTCACCCCCACCAGCTGCTGGGAGGAGAGGAGACACGACTCATCCTGGAAAGAAAGCTCAAGGTGACAGACGTAAGCTAAAAACCAAAGCCTGCCAACTGCGAAGGACTTGCTTATGGCAGAGCCCACGGCAGCAAATAGGGCATCTCCTCTGGGGAGAGCAGTGCTGAGGTCTGCCCATTGCCCCGGGAGAGGCCGGGGACGGTTCACGTGTCTCGTTCCCCGCGTAAGCCCGCCGTACCTCCAGGACGGGCTCTGATGCATTGCAATAGAGGGCCGAAGCGTAGGTCAACTGAAATCTCTGGATTTGGGGACCCTATTGAACAGCCTAGTGGGAAAAATGTCTGTTATTTCTGTGATGCTGTCAGCGGGCTTTTAATGTTTCAGCGTTGAAATTGTGTGGGTTATTCTGCAACATGTATTAATTCTTTCTCTGTGCCTATTTATTTACGTTGGCCTCGGCTGCTTTCTGTCCATCCCAAGCCATGCCGTTTGATCCTTTTACAGTAGGAGACCATGAGGATTGGAAGCCGTTACCTTCCTAGCGGTAGGAATTGAGATTAAAACTTAAATCTCTACAGCAACACACGACCACGGGGTAACTGAGGTTAGAAGGGACCGCTGAGGTCTCTAGTCCCACCCTGCTCAAAGCAGGTCCAGTTCGATCAGGATGGCGACGCTGGAATAGCTCCAAGGGCGGAGATATTCAGTGGATGTGGATGGAGAGTCCACAGCGTCTAGGTCCCCGTTCCAATGTTTGACCACCCATATGTCAAAAACGTTTTTCCTGGTGTCTGGTTGGAGTTCACAGTGTTTCAGCTTGCGCCTGTTGCCTCTTGCCTGTCTTGCGCCTCTGGGAACAGTCTGCTCTGGTCTCCAGGCTTCTGCTTGTGCATCGCATACTCCAACGCCGTAACCATCCTCATGGCCCCTGCTCCAGCTTGTTAGTCTGTAGTTCCAGCATCAGATCTGCCACTTCTCCGGCCCACAACCCAGTGATTTGGGCACGAGGACGCCGTGTGGCAGCAGTGTCGGAGGCCTTGGCAAGGTCCCGGCATTCAACATCCACGGCCCGCCCTTATCCCCACTGCCGTCACCTCCTCGCAGCGGGCGGTCGCGTTGCTCAGGCACGATCTGCCCGTGGCGGATCCCTCCTGGCTCTTCCCAACTGTTCTCTTCCCCTCTCCGTCCCACGGCTGGAAAGAGCTTTGGGAAGGGCTTGGTCCCTGTCTCTCCCAGGGCTGACTGCCCTGTAGCTCCTCAGATCCTCCTGCTCCTCCTCGGAGATGGGTGTGATGGTTGCCTTTTCCAGGCATTGGGAATTCTATTTGGAATGACAGAATTAAAGCTTTGTTTTTGCAAACGGAGCGAGATGGGAGGTGAGAGCGAGCTGTGACCCCAGGTGAAGAGCTCAGCACCCTTCGGTGGGGACGACGCGGGGCAGGCGGGTGACCTTTGACGTCAGATTCGGGGTTTTCAGAAGCGGCGTGCCTGGCGCTGCCCGCTTGGCCTAACAAAGTCAGAAGGGAGCGGCCAGAGCTGTGACCTCCTCCGCTTCTTTTTTATAGTATTTCAATCAAAAACAGCATTGAAATCCAGAGTAGCGGCTTGTAGAGAAGTTGACATTTCGGGTGTTGCTCTAATAAATGGCTCTGTCAGGAACGTTCTGGAAACTTCACCAGTAATGAGCGCTCGGACACACGTGATTAACTCGGAGGAGGAGCGGCTCCGGGAGGAAAGCTCTCGCGGCGGCGGCGCGCAGTAAATGCGATTCCGCCACTGTGATCTATTGCTGCTCCCGAACGGCGACTGGCGGGGTCAGCGGCCAGAACCGCGCTGACGTCTGCTGACGCACGAGCGGCGAAGGCAGCGGCTGCCCGGGCAGCGCGGAAAAAGCGCGTCCTTGCTGGAGAACCGCAATACCTGGCAATAAAGTTTGTTTATTATTGAAGGTAAATGCTGGTGTCCTGTGTTTTAAGGGCTGGGGAGCGAAAAAACCGCAGACCGGCTTGTTGGTACCTAAACCCCGAGCGTGTTTGAGCCTCCTGCCCGGTTTGATTTAAAGAAGGGAGATGGAGACTGTTGCTTCTTGATTTGTTGACCTTTTTTTTCATCCTCCAAGACACTGGTAAATGGGGCACGTTAAGCTTCTGACACCGTAAAAGCAGAGGAGATGGAAAGGGGTGCATTGAGAGGGGATGCAATTTCTGTGCGGAATCCATAAAATTTTCCGCAAAATTTGTTGTTCTGGTACCGCTGACATAATTATGAATCACTCTGACGCCTTCAGCTCTGACAGCCCAGTTTTTTCCAGGTACCGGCCAGAAAAGCTCACCTCTTCCGTGCGTCTGAAAGCGTGGCCCTCCGGCAAATCTAGGAAATATCGGATACGTTTATTTTTTTTTGAAGGCCAATGCGTTTTGAGTTTACTAGCAGCTTTATCAAGAAATAAAGTAATTATTTTTAGCTTCCCATTTGTGTGTTCTTTCTGGGGTGATTTCATGCTGCACTAGCTCAGCGTCTGCAAAACTCTCCGGGCTTGTCTGCACAGGCTCGGCTTGGTTTTGAAGTGTGATGTATTGATTTGTCCGTTTGATAGAAACGCAGCCAAATGAATAGCTGGTTTGTTCTTCTCTCCGAGCCGTTGCTTCTGCCGGGGACGGGGAGTTCCTCCGACGCGTGTTGCTGGCGTAGGTCCTGGCTGCTGCACCGCTGGGCGTTGGGATGGGGTCGGAGGGGCTCCGGCGGTGGCTCTGCAGCCGGGTCCCCTGCCCCGGGGTGGCCCAGGAGCCGCCACGCTTTGAGGAACGGTCCCAGAGCTGCGGCTTCTCCCCCTTTGTCCATCTGCCCGAGCTTCAAAATATATTGGTGCGTGGCTTTAGCGTGGCTCACGGGGTCTGCGCTCGCCTGGACGTAAGTTGGGGCAAGACGGCTCCTGCGGCGCGCTCTGCTGCCTGTGGCGTGGCGGCCGGCAGGGAAGAGCAGAAACCACGCTGCCCTCTAAAGCTGTTCTGAAGGGTTTCTCACGTTTGAAGTACGCTGGGCACAAACAGTAACAAAGCCAGGAAGGCTGGTAGGATCTCGGGCATCTTTAGCTGCAAAAAAAAAAAAAAAAAAAAGAGGTGGCACAAAGGAAACATGAGACCCTACCGGGAGAACAGGGGCTCTGCAGGTCCCTCCCGTGGTGACGCTGGAAGCTTTGTGGCCACCTCTCGAGCGAGACTTCATTCACACGGGGTGACAGCGTGGGACCAGGTAGCCAAATAACAAATTGGGGAGCCCAGAGGGATCCTGATGGGGCTAGAGACACACAGCAAGTTCCCTACTGCTTTTGTTTGTGCTTCCCCCCCACACACACTTAAAAGCTCACGCTCCTGGCTGCAGACGAGCAGAGGGCTTTGCCCTGGGCGTGCAGGGAGGAGGAAGCATTGCTGAGCACCTGAAACTTTATTATAAGAGAAATTGTCAGCTGCGGTTTAGTTTGGCTGAGGTGTGTTGGCGTTTTCCTGGCCAGGCTGCTCGTTCGCAGGGTCCTGGTAGCCACTCGGCCAAGCCAAGGGATTTTTCCAGTTGGCTATGACCTGGTTTTTGCCGTACTTTGAATTTTGGGTCATTGTCATAGGGTCGCTTTTTTTCCCTCCGTGAGACCAGCATCCATTTCAGTACAGGTACATCATTCTTACAGAGCTATCGTGTAGGAAATCAGCTAATAGCATCCTGTAATTAATTGTGAAAGGGAGAGCGGCTCTGAACTCCAGGAGCAGTCGTGCTTCGCTGCAGCCCACAAAATGCGTCTGTCTTGTGCAGCCGTGAGTCGTCCTGCAGTCTGAGGGCGGCTAAACGCAGCCAGCGTTGCCTTCAGTGGCCAAGCCCGGCACCTTTGACAGGGGACACGAGGATACTGAAGCCTCCTAGATGGAAAACGAAACAAAAAAAAAAACCCCAAAACACCAAAAAACCCCCCATGCCCAAGGTGATTTGTGTGGACAAGCTGCAGCTCCTCCTTCTTCTCCCTTCATGATGGGAATGAGGGTGGGCAAGCAGATCAAGGGCTTATGCAACTGTTCAAAAGATGAACAAAGTCAAGAAAATGCAATTTGCCTGTAAAACCCAACAGACCCAGGGCTGAGGTCGAGCCCACGCCTGTGGAAATGAAACCTGGGGCTGGGGAGGCCCCAAATTTCCCTGCTCCGGGTTGAAATGGTGCTAAGGGAGGATTGGGGCCTCGGCTGCGGGTGCTGCGTCCTCGCCGCTCGGTAACCCCTCGCAGCCCCCGTCAGGCACAGGGGGTTTGAGGCCGATGCTTTCAAGCAGGAGAGCAGCAGCTAGGGTTGTGCTCCCCTGCCTGCGCCCAGCTCCTTCCCAGCCGATGAGGAAAATAAGCGAGCAGCCATAAAGAAAGCAAGTCATTAATGGGAGCTGCTCTCTCCGTTCCTGGGCAAACAGTGGCGACCAGCTTAAAATACTTGGAAGAAGAAGAAAAAGGTGAGTCATGCTCCTTTCTGCATTAATTTGAGCCTGTTGTGTTTCTCCTGCTCTAACATTTTGGGATGCTGTCGCTCTCTGCCTGCAGTCGGACGTGGCGAGGCCGTGGCACACGGGTGCCAGGCGGCGGGAGCTCAGGTGCGGCTCGGGCGGTAATAACCTGCTCGGGGCAGGAGCACCGGGGCTCGTGCCGCGATTTCATTGCTGTAGTGTTGTGCTTTCTGACGTGAAAAGCAGCTCTGCCAGCTTCAATATTTCTCTTGCTTCTATTTATATGCCTTTTCCTCATTGCTTTAAAATTATCTTCTACCCCTGCCTTGGTAGCGCTGGAGCAATTAGTAAAGTGCCTGCTAAGGGCACCTCTCTCACTGGAAGCACAAGGGCTGCAGAGCAGGTTTTTAGACTGGAAGCATAGAACCACAGAATCGTTTAGGTTGGAAAAGACCTTGAAGATCATCAATTCCAACCGTTAACCCAGCACTGCCAAGCCCACCACTAAACC